CCTCTTTCCCCCTTACTAGATTTATGACCCTGAACTAGTCACTAACTAGTCACTTCTTTATTGTGTTTCCTTTTCTTCACCTGTGAACAGGGACAGGAATGTCCCAGACTTTGAAGGTTTTTGGAAGAGCACTGTGAGTTGTCATACATGAAGCTTTAGAGCAACTGGGGTACAGAGTGCAGAGCGAAGTCCCAAGTGTGAGCTGCTGATATCTTCAGCTGTTATTATGCCAATGTGCCTCTGTTCTCATTTCAGTTTGGTCTCTCGAAGAGTAGCCAATAAAGGCCCTTTACATTTCGTGAAGGCTATATAAACAAATTTTCTTTCTTTCCCCATCTTCCAGGGTAAAATGATCTCAACAGAATTTGAATTTCTCTCTGTATTTTTTCCAAAGACTACTCAGAAAGAATGAAAGAATAAGCATCTTCATATACTGCCCATCTTCAAATGTTAACAACTTTTAACCCAGTCATCTGATTCTGGAAATATAAGTAAATAATCTCAAATGCACAGGGTTATATACAGAGAGAACATTCTTTGCATTACTATTTACATAATGATTAGAAACCATGTAAGCAAGGTCCAATAGTTAGAAGAACAGCCAATGTCAAAAGCAGCACACAGCAGGGGTAGGACCAGTGATGGATGGGATTCCAGGCTTCAGTGAGATAAAGAATATTGCAGAGGCAAGGAGGGTGTTGCCTTTGGAAAACTACGGAGGGTACCAGTGAATTTACCAAGACAGTGAGCTACTAACACTGAGTACAAGGCATTGCTATGGAAAAAGAAGAGCTATTTATATTATTACTTATAAAAGAAGGAAGACTGTTTTATTTTAAGGGAGCTTGGTCATCTAAACGTGGGGTGTGAATCAGAATGCCCTGGGGTCAAGTCCCAGGTCTAGGACACTGAACATTCACACACCCTAACTGAACACATGCACATGACCTCCTCTTCAACAAGAAGGCACAAGGGTCCCAACCTAATAAAGTGTGCACAATCATTTCATTGCATGTGAGTAAGAAACGTCATGGACACTTAAGAAATATAAGCAATGATCATTAGTACAAAGAAGGTTCCTGCTTTTAGGTAGCTGCCAGAACATCTGTCCACATGTCTCTATATGCAGATTCTATTGTTTCTCCATGGCTCTGTCCTCGGTGGATCACTTTCTTCTTGGACCCTAACAGGACAGGAGGCCTCTGCCTTGGCATGGCTGAGGGAAGAGGGATAGAGCCAGATGACTGACTTCTTTAAATAGCAGTAACAGAGCCAGGGAAAGAGAAACACTTTGGGTTAAAATCTGTTGGTCCTTGGCAACCATAGTGGAGGAACCATGGGACATGGATCCCTGGCCACCTACTTCCCTACAACTGTCCCCAACCCATCCCACAATGTGTTTTCTTCCCTTGCAGCCTGGGTACCTCAGGGAGCTGTAAGAAACCCTTTCAGAGAGACCACAGGTGGTACCAAGGACGCAGAACACAGTCAACAATGAAATGAAATTGGTTGTTTCCCCCAGGTGTTCACAGTCTCCTCTCTGCTCATGGCTTGGAAGCACTAGGCCTCCATACCCAGAGCCTACTAAGGAGTTGACGGTGAGGGCAAGGAAGGTCATTGGTAACAAATGGAAGGCTCTCCAACACCGTCACAGGGCTCCCCTTACTGGCCCCGTCTTGGGGAACATAACCAAGAGTCATTTCCATCTTGCCCTGTCTCCTCTAGTGGCCCCAGGCCAGGTTGGGAGTAAAGGATAATGTCAGCATAATTGGCTGCCTATTTTGTGTAATATGAGACCAAGAAGACTCAAACATTCCCAGCACAAAGGGAATACTTTCCCTGTCATCTTTTCCAAATCGGGTCCCTTTGAGTTTAGCCATCTACACATCTGTGTTCATTGTGTTGTAATACTGAGCAAGATCCACAGAGAATTGCCACATAGTGGTCAAATTAGGAGTCCTTTATTAGCTAGCT